TAACTTAAGTGCAAATCTGACACAGAATAGAATTCAAACTGGAAATCATTCCTAGATGACAATTTAATACAATTATATCAGATCCAACATTTGGGTTTCTTTATGTATAAATTCTATATTTTAATTTGACAGGGTATGAAAAACTGAAGAGATTTTTACTAATATGCACTGAATTTTTTGTAACCTGTAATCTTACATGGTGATGTATACCATGTTGACCACAATTCTCAATATTAATTCTAACTTTACAGTTTAATAATTTTTTTGGTGATATATTCAGTTATTTACAATAGCTATGTTATACTGGAAAACTATAAACTTTATGATGTTTCTTGTTCATTTGTATTTACTTTTTATTCTCCCTTCTTATCTTCTTTCTATATTTATTTACATATTTTTTTCTAATGTTCAATTTATTAAAAAGGGCAAATGGAATTTGCTGCCATCAGATGTGATTTTTGGTATAGGAGAGGTCCTGATTAAAAAAAAAAAAATCATGCAGATTTCCAGATTTTGAAGCCACCTTTTCTTGAGATTCAAGGTGACCACTTGCCATGTAGCAATCAAGCAAGCACACAAACAATCCTATTTAATATGAATAAATAAATTCCTTCTATTTTTTTTTTAACCTGTGAAATAGCCACAAGATGGCAGTGCTACATAATCATGGCAGGAGAGAGAACCAAGTATTGGAGAGCATCAAGAGATGTTCCTAAGGAAGTTTTATGGTACTGTATAATGTCCTGCCTTGTTTAAGCAATTGTATGAAGGTAATTGGCAACTTGTTATTCCCAATATTTCCCCACCCCAGTTCCACTTTTTAAAAACTTTCCTAAGATATTCATTAAGAGAGAAAATGTGGAGCAATGGCATAAAAAGTTTTAATTGATAATGCTTACCCTCCCTCTAACAAACCTGAACTTTGATGGGAAACATACTGTACACACAAACACACACACACACACACACACACACACACGTGTGTATATGTGTGTTTGTGTGTGTGTGTGTGTGTGTGTGTGTGTGTGTGTGTGTGTGTGCGGGCATCAAAATTTCATTTTTTAATGTCTTCACAGAAAAAAAAGTAATAACGGTCATCTTATTTTATCTTATATATCTATCTTACCGTAATCAAAATCAACTATTGGTATATTCATCTAATGTGATACAGTTACATTATAGGAATGGGAATCTTTGTGTTTTCAATTCAGGAAAAATCAGAAAAAAGATTGCGTACACATTAGTATATGCAGTCAAAATTTCCCAACGCTTCTCCAGTTGCGTCTCCTGACAATAAAATGCTGGTTCAAATAGAGAAAGAGAATGAGTTTCTTTGGACTGTTGTATAATTGACAGGTGTCCTCCCAATATTGTAACAACAGGAAAGATGATGACTTCCATTGACTCATCAGTCTCCAAGCAAAAAGATGTTCAGCACAAGTTTCCCATCATTTCGTTTCCTTAAAAGGTTCATAAGTGTTCAGGAGACATCAAATAATATCTATTGTAGTATTAAGTGGATAAAATATAACTGATCAAAGTATCTACCATTAACGCATTCATGAACTGGACACTTTTATTTCGTTTTTCTGTACTTCTCTATACTCTTAAACAATAAATGTAGTACTAACTTTTATTTATTTAGTTAAATGTATCGGCTGCCCAACTTCAGTGGATTTTGGTTAATACAAGTTTAATTTATTTTGTAAAGGACATCATATGGTATTCTATGGAATTCTGAAGCAATTTGAGTTGCCGGCTCAAAGACTTATCACTCAGCATTTTTTGCAGATGATACTCATGTTGCAACTTCTCAAAGAATATAAATTCATCCTCTAATCCTTTTAATTTATTTAATGGTACTCCACCCAGATTCTCCAACAAAAGGATTGCTCTGTTATTTTCAAGTGTGGATTCCCCCAGAATATTAATTTGGTCTGCTTGTAAGAATGAAACCAGAACTGGCATGCTTTTACACACCTCTCTGACAACTCATACAAAAAGACTGGGAATCCTATATTTTTGAAAGTAATCAGCCCTAATGCTTTATAAAATATAAGAGGTAATCAAATGTGTCAATTCCAAGGTAACCCAGGAGGGCAAGTTTCCAGTTGGCCAAACCTGCCATTCATTAATGTGAGAAAGAAGAAGAAGCTTCGTGCTGTAAACTTGGACAATTAAAATTTCTTCTCTGGAACTTTCTTGACTCATATTAAATGTTCTCTGTCCATCCTTGTGTTGTCACAGAGAAGCCCAGCATAAAATGTGCTCTTTTCATTGTCAATTCCAATCCTGCCTCTGTTGCCCTGTGCTGTCCTGATTTTTATGGGTGCCATTCATTTTAGGCATGAAAATTGGCTTTTCCTTCTGACTTGGCTCTCTTCCTTTTCAAAATATTACCAGACAGCTGTGAAAATTCTGCCTGAGCTTCTCTGGGATGGTAGGCAATAAGGCATGGCCCTCACTTCATGCCACATTGGACACTTCCTAACTTAAGGCAACATGAAATAAAGGAGGAAAAAACTTTTGGGCGGAAACACCTCCTGGGAGAGGGGAACATACCCTATCATGGTTGCAAAACAAATTAGGTACCTACCTGTAGGAAGCTAAAACCCACCCCTCTCCTAGAAAATGAAATATTTTAGGAAATATTAAAAGGGCAGAATATTTCCCCTAAAAGGGAGGCAGAAATTCAGGGGTGAAATCCAGCAGGTTCTGACAGGTTCTGGAGAACCGGTAGCGGAAAATTTGAGTAGTTTGGAGAACCACCAAATAACACCTCTGGCTGGCCCCAGAGTGGGGTGGGAGTGGAGATTTTGCAATATCCTTCCCCCAGGAGTGGGGAGGGAATGGGGATTTTGCAGTATCTTTCCCCTACCATGCCCACAGAACCGGTAGTAAAAAAAATTGAATTTCACCACTGCTTCAAGTCCCCAAACATACTCTGATCATACCCACATTGTCATCTGAACTTCCCTCCAAATTATTGGGTGATAAAGTGTGGAAACTGTGATGGGATAATGTTCGTTTAAGCTGTTTCCAGTAATGTGCTGTGGATGAAGTTCAGGAAATGTCATGTGACCATTTTATATAAAGCAATATATGTTACGTCAGCACAAATTTGCTGGAGAAGATGCTATTAGTCATTAGTGGGGCTCCTGCTTAATTGCGCTTGTATTCCTCACCTCATTCTGAGTTTAGCTTTCCCAACTCACTTCCAACAGGTCTGAGCTGCTAGTGTGAATTCTTCTTTTAGCTCTGCTTCCATGAATCCATACACTCTTACAACTGTCTCCATTTTTCCTGCTTGCAGGGGTTGTTTATACCTGTGATTTCAGCAGCTTGTGCTTTGGACTCTTCCATCTCTTCTAATTTGTCCACCTACAGCATTTCAAACCATAGTACGCTGCCCACCTTGAACTCAACATCTTCATACATGACTGATTTCTCTCTAATTTTGCTCCCCTAGTACAGTCACATTCCTCTCTATGCCTGACACCTTCAGTTCATTAAGCAATTCTTCTCTATTAATCAGCATTAAATCCAGAATAGTCCCGTCCCGTCCTGTCTGTCCCCCCTCCCCCCCCCAGTTTATTCTTTTACTTTCTGCAAAATGAGATCTTCAGAAAGAGAGATCATAAATCTGTTGGACCTCCCACTCTTAGCTAATATCAGAGTAGTGGAAGTCTCCCATTACCACTAACTTGCCCTTTTGAGAATTTCGTGGGTTGGTTCAGATAGGCATTGTCCACATCTCCTTTAGCAAACCTCCACCATGTTATTGCTGTTGTTTCTAATCTTACTTGGATTTAACTTTAATCTTATCTAGAGACTTTCAATAGAATTTCCATATTCAGGAGCACAAATGTCTTCACTGGAATGGAACTTCATTAAGTATAATCCTATTTTGCTGGCTCTGTTTCTTTTGAACATGCAATATCTTTCAAGTTCTATGTTCTGTTCAAGACTGTCTCCTCCACCAGGTTTCTCTGTTGTCTACCTATTAGAACATATATGTTTTCCAGATTTGTTCTGCAATTCTACAGAAAAAAAATATTTATTTGGTTGCTCTCATTACATCCCCTTGCTTTGACCCCTGTGAACAGTTAACTACAGTAAGCACCACATATTTACTAGTGTTTCTAGTTTCAAACTACGCGACTGCCGTTTAATTATCTGAGATAACTCTCAGCCCAAGATTAGTTATTGCCTCTGGGCATCATCGAAACTTATTCTGAACTGTAATGAGATAACATCGAGATAGGAAACATTCACCATTCTAAAATACTTCTTTCTCTTTCCAGTTGTGGCTTCCATTTTTTTTTTGTTTTTAAATGCAAACGATAATGCCATTACTATTGCGAAATTTTCCCTGCCTTTGATATTCAATAATTTGAGGTGTGGAGGACAGAGAAAGAACAGTACAATGATGTCATTTTTATTGGGAAGAAAAGCAGAAGTTAGACAATGTTTGCTCTGAAATATCTCATTAGATCCCCTGAGATAAACTTACCAAGTTCAATAAAGTTGACAGTTTAAAATGTGCTTAGGAGTGCAAATGGAAGGTGTTAAGTAAACCCAGAATTTGGTATTAAATTAACATTAAACTGGGCATGCTTGCTGGGACATTAAGTTTAATCATTTTTGCATTTTGCCATCAAATTTTGCTGTCAAGATTTCTTGCTTTTTTAAGTTTAGTCATGTTGATTTGTGTCCCCAAAGTTTTCTGCATCTACCGTATTTTTTGGAATATAAAATGCACCTTTTTCCCTGCTAAAAGTGGGTGAAAATTTAGGTGCATCTTATATACAGAATGTAGTCCCGCCCACCCACTGGCCCCCACCCTTTGGCCTCTACCTCGCAGCAGTTACCTCCTTGCAAGCAAACAGCAAGAAAAAACAGTTCCTTTCAGCTTCAGCACAGTCTAATTAGCACAAGTTGATTGGATCAGCCTCCGGACTCTCAGCTGATTTGCTCTCAGCTGTTTTGTGCAGGGCTCTGCTGCTTGCTGCAAAGAGGTAAATTGCTGGAGCAGATTTTTTTTCCCCCTTGTGCTAATCAAGCTATGCTGAAAACAAAAATGGAAGTAAAGCAGGCTGATTACTGTTTGCTGCAACAAGGCAAAATTGCTCAAAGGCAGAGGCAGGAAGAGATTTCTTTTTCTTTTTTTTCTCACCAAAAAAGGTAGGTACATCTTATACTCCGGTGCATCTTATACTCCAAAAAATACAGTACTTTTACCTTTAAAAATCTGGCAGAGGCTCATACTTCTTCCCAGTGATCTCATCCATGACTTCCAGAAGATCAAGTGCTTGAGTTGTAGCCCCCAACTTCTCAAAGACTATTGCATCTTTAGGGTGTCCTTCTTCAATTGGGGTTGATTGGGATCATTTCTATTCTTCCCTTATATTCTTCTCCTTTCACACTTCAAAAGAAATAATGTCACATTAGTCAATACAAAAGGCTATGCGCTGCTCCTATTCTTACATGGGCTTATATTAATGTTGATAGCTATGAGCATATACAGCTTCATTGCTATATTTTAAGTCAGGAGAAAAATGTAGGCTTTTTCTTACACTGACAAACATCTTATTTAGTTTAATGTATGAAAAGCTCTGCTTTTAGATGAGGTATAATTGTCATCTTACTATGGATCAGTTGTACGAGTGCTGACCTACCTTGAATCATGTGTTCAGGGAAGAAACTGCTGGTGATCCCTCATTTCAGAGACGTACAAGGAGCTAAAACTCATAGGCCCTGTTTTATAGTGGCCACACCTATATTATGGAGTAGCCTGCCCTCAGCGATCAGGCTGGCTTCTCCATTGTTCACTTTCTGGAAATGATGGAAGCCTGAGCTGTTTTATGATGAGTAATGGGACATCCTGATTGATGGATGCTTTATTATGGTTTTCTGGATTTGTTTTAGTTCTTACTGTGCATGTTGTAACAGAAATTGTATTTGTGCTCTTAATTACTGTGCAGCAGTAATTACTGGTTGATTGTGGCAGGTCTAAATTAAAATGATAGAGATGCTATCAATGATAGATAGAAAGATAGATAGATAGATAGATAGATAGATAGATAGATAGATAGATAGATGATAGATAGATAGATAGATAGATAGATAGATAGATAGATAGATAGACAGATAGATGATGGATGGGTGGATGGATGGATGGATGGATGGATAGATAGACAGACAGACAGACATATGGACAGATAGATGAGAGTATATAGGTAGATAGGTAATAAATGATAGTAGATAGATGAACAGATGGACAGATGGATGGGCGGGCAGATGGATGGATGAGTGGGTGGGTGGGTGGATGGCAGGGAAGCAGGCAAGCAGGCAGGCAGGATAACTGTATTCTAACACTATGAAACCATTCATTTTAAAAATGTACTGGGTCACCCACACCTCAGTATATCCCAAGACAGTGCATGCACTTAAGTGGCCTCTTACATAGAAAGAAAGAAAAAACCTTACTTCCTTCTTTTTCTTTCCGAGTTAAAAAAAAAGCAGGCAATAATGTATTTTCCTGGTTGGCCAGAACTAAGGAAGAAGGCAAGAACAAAAATAAAGGTTTTGAGAAAGGTGAAGGTGCACGCCCAGGATAAGAGCATGCACCTTCAATATGGAATTGCATATTGGAATTGCACCTCCATTCGATATGCAATATGGAAATTATCCCGTTGCCCTTTCCTCTGAATTTGTGTCACCTTAGTTTTAAAACCTCCGTGCATGCAAGAAGCACCCTCACTAAGCAAGTGATGAGGGGGAATACACTTAAGGTTGCTCAGCCTTGATAGTCTGATCTGATTTTTGTTCAGCTCTGCCACAGGGATTCAGAATTACCTTTTTCTTAGCAGGAAACAAACTAAAGGAGCTTCTTTTGCTCAGCTGTAAACCAAATCCTGAACAAGGCTGAATGTCATCGAAAATACTTGTCCAAGTCCAAGTGGTGATGCTTGCAAGGCATTCCTCAAATCAGCAAGCTGGTTCCCATCTTTCCTCGTCTTCTGAAAGATCTGTAAATAATTCCAACTGAGTTGAATTTCTGAGATTAGAAGTGAAAAACCTCACTTTAGCTTTGTAATTTAATAGGGGAGAAAAGGAAGTCACACACTTGTAAGGTGCTAACAAAATGGCCTGTGGGAACTTTTTCTTTTTCTTTTTTAGCAATGACTAGCCTCACACAAGTATAGCAAAAACATGTTAAGAACTAAGAGGTAAGAGCCTGAGGATACGTGAGCTCTTTTTTAATTATTATTATTTTTTACATCTTGAAGTACATTAGGAACTCTGCCATTTTCATGACTATTTCAGAGCAATTGCATCAAATGAATTGGCCACAGAAAGTGTGAAACTATTGGCATTAGGGGTCCACAGGAGCTGGGAAACCAATATATTTAAATGTATAATAATTCAGTAGTTGTAATAATAAAAGGATTAAAAATCTAGAAGGGCAAAACCACAGCATTGTAAGTATCTGCTATAATCCAATCAAACAACATAAAACTAAGGGATAACTCATGACCTTCTCTTGAGAAAGGGAGTTGCAAACCCAACCAATACTGTATGTAAACACCCACCATGCTCCATCTGTTTTCATCTGATTGTCTTCCTCATGTCATGTCCATTGTAACGTGACACAACTGGCAAATTGTGATGAATTCAGTGGTAATTACCTCTAAGTGATGATTTAGGCTTTAATTCTTTCACTTAGAGAAGATTTCTCTCTCATCGATGAAGGTGCCAAGCAGCATCTCTGTATGCTATGGTTTTACTCAGAAGCTGGAACAGTAGTTTAAGGCTTGAGCATAATGGGTTGACTCCAATGAAATTCACCGATCTTTAGAAGGGAGGTTATAGTGGGTTGGGATAACTCAGCTCATGTAAGCCAGCTGTTGTAATAAGTGATTTGCACATATGGTGCCTTTTCCATAAAACATTTAGAGCACTGTTTCCCAACCTCAACCCCTTTAAGATGTGTGCACTTCAACTTCCAGTCTCAAATCAAGACTCCCAAAATTGGCTTAGTGGGGAATTCTGGGAGTTGAATCGACATGTCTTAAAGTTGCCAAGCCTTGCAAGTAACATCATTTGGACTTCTGGAATTTGTAATAACACTCCTTACTTTTTTTGTAACTATTGTACATGCATTATTTCCAATAACCCCAACATGTGCCCTCTAAGTATTTTGTGATATACTGTAACTCCCATAATCCCTTTCAGACTGAGAATTAAAGCCCAGAACAATTGGAAAATTGCCTTTCCTACAATCTATGTTACTTGAGTGTAAGCTTATTGGAACTCCATGAGATGGTGTTGGCATGAGACATTAGCCCAGAGGATCTTTAATGAATTAATTCAATTTTTCTATACTCGCTATGTTTGCCGGCTACGTCTGTAGAACATGCCAACTAAGTTTGCAGAACACACTGGGTTAAAATACGTTTTGCAATTCAGTGGTTATATGAACATAGCCTGTGAATTATTTCTATTTACACTGCATATCTGCGTAAGATTGCACTGTTATTTTGGTGAGCATGAGCTTTCATTTGAGACTTGCCAAGGAATATCTTGGCACATGCTCAGGAATGTGCCTGATGAAAGAACTGATTTATATATGCAGGACTCTTCCCTTCACTTCCTCCCCCAATTCCAAATAATTTGTACGTTCCCAATTACCTTTATCGGACAATATTAGATACATTATTGGGTGACTGGCAAACTCCATCTACAGTACATAAAGTAGTCTCGCTTAGTCATTGGATTGTGAAAATTATTTGCTGATTCTCTGAAGGGTGTGTTGATATCTAGGTACCATTTTCAAGGGAGAAGAAAGCAGGTTAGGAAAAGCTGCTGTAAGAATATCAAAATTTCAGGTGAACAATCCTTGGTCTTGGGCACGATTTGTGACACTCAAGCATCCAGAATCAGAACATCCAAACTTTCCACCCCCTCTCAAGTTTTCTTTCCATTTTGGAGCTAAAACTTTTTCCCTCAGTAAACTGATTCCAGATGGAAGCTTTCACGAAAAAGGCACCATGGAACTCTTTTTCCTCAAGAATTTTTTTTCCCCTGGCAAATCTATGGTATAAGCATGAATAAATTTGTAGAAAACACCTGGAAAGATTATGAATGCAGATTGTCCCCAACTTACGACCACAATTGAGAACAGAAGTTCCATTGCTAACAAAGAGGTTGTTAAGTGAGTCATGCCCAATTTTATGACCTTTTTGCCATGGTTTTTAAGCTAATCATTGCAAGTAAATGAATCACATGGTCATTAAATGAAACGGGCTTCCCCCGTCGACTTTGTTTATTGGAAGCTGGCTGGGAAGATCACAAAGGGCAATCACATGTACTTAGGATACCAGAAGCATCAGTTTTGATATTTTGATCATTGATCTTTTCCCCAATCACATATCTTTAGAATTTTAAGGAGACCCCTGCCCCGAAACAATTAATTTCGAATTGCTCCATGAATCAAAATGTGTTGCAGCTATGAAAAGATTTCATTAAACAGGTCCCTGCTCAAATATTTGTACTTCTTTTAAACCCATACCGTGAATGTACAAAACAAGCACAGTGTATGCATATGACAACAGGATGTGGCCAGCATCAGAGAAGGCTGAACTACTAATCTATCTGATGATTTATTTTTTTCTGTTTGCTAAAGCAATGTTAAAATTAAAGGGGAAAATGGTAACCAAAAGTACAAAGAATGCTCGGATGGTCTTCCTAGCTGACAATAGTTCCAACTAAGTAAGAATTGTCAACAGGTTAAAGTCTCTTTTAACCCAACTTTGTAGGACTATTTCCTGTTGAAGTTAATATCCCCCTCCAGTTTCCTGCAAGCCTTCAAAATCTGCACTGGGATGAAAAGGATCAAAGGGACACCAAACCTCCTTGCATAAGATGTCCGCCTGAACTTCATCTTCATGTTCATTCCTCAATGCTCTTTGTGGGAACGTGGGGAATAAGGAATTTCACCGAGACTGGCAGCCTGGAGTTAAAGTGAAGAAGAACTTTCCGGAAAGGTGTGAAAATAAGGCTATGAGGCCTCATTTGGGTAGTGCTGAGGAACAGGCAGTCATGGAACTGATTGGCGCCCTGAAAGCCCTTCCTTCACCTTTTAATTAATTAAATTAATCAATAAATTTTAATCTTGATTTTAATCATCCTTGTCTGTTTTTACATTTTCATTTTTTATATGCTGTTTTTATGTTTTACTATTTTTTTGTATGCCATCCAGAGTCCCTCCGTGGAGGAGATGGGTGGTTCAAATATATGATAAATGAATAAATAAAATAAAAAGAATATAGGCAAGCCAAGCAGGCAGGCAGTGTTGATTTCATTTATTTTCTCTCAATATTGCTGTGGGCTTGCTCACACTTTTTCAGGGCACTATAAAAACTTATTTATTTCTGGCCTGAAGTACAATTAGAGCCGATTCCTGGAAGTCACTAGGTATGTGCAAACTGCCTCACTGATATTTATGGAATCTCGTGCGAAGGTGGTCTGGTTGTGGATGGTGTTGGGCTGTAGGTTTATCTCATGACCTCATTCTGACTCATTTTTCTAGTAAAGTTATTTTTAGAGTGTTACATAGGATCTGCAGTTATAGAAAGACGCCCTTCTGTGATCCTGGTTTAGTCTCAGATGATATGAGACACACAAAAAAAGGAAAGGGGAATGAATTGCTCATTGGGTTTAGTGATAAAGAAGCAGGAAAAGCAGGATGCCTTTGAGCATCAATACCACAGATATTTTTGTGAGTTGGGGAGAGGTCCCAGGCACAACACCTTCCACGGGACAAGCCAAACCCACACACTGGGCACTTTTCTTCAGTAGCAGGGTGCCTCCTTCTTAGTTTGGGAGTTTGGACAATACCCAACTCTGCCCCTTTGAGAATGGACCCCTAAGCATTAGAATCTTGCCCACCATAACATTCTTTAGTATTTGGGAGGAGGAGGAGGAGGTGGAGAAGAAGAAGAAGGAGAAGGAGAAGGAGAAGGAGAAGGAGAAGGAGAAGGAGAAGAAGAGGAGGAGGAGGAGGAGGAGGAGGAGGAGGAGGAGGAGGAGGAGGAGGAGGAGGAGGAGGAGGAGGAGGAGGAGGAGGAGGAGGAGGAAGAGGAAGAGGAAGAAAAAGAAGAAGAGGAGGAGGAGGAGGAGGAGGAGGAGGAGGAAGAAGAAGAAGAAGAAGAAGAAGAAGAAGAAGAAGAAGAAGAAGAAGAAGAAAAAAGAAGAAGAAGAAGAAGAAGAAGAAGAAGAAGAAGAAGAAGAAGAACTATACATAGTTGTTCTTTCTTAGTTTCCTATCCTAGTTCTTTCAGACCTTGAACCAGCATTTTTCTACTTTTCTACAATGGGGCTTTACTTTACATCCTTCCTTCCTGCACAGACTACCATTGTCTCCCGTCAAATCGATCATGGCAGTTTCCTAAGGTGCCCATAGGCTACCCAGATCAAATTCAGCGCTGGCCTCTGGAGTATTTCAATGTCTGCATATCCCTTTCTGTTTTGTGTGTGCTGAATGAGAGCTTGCAAGGGTCCCTTCATTTGCGATTATTTTTCTGCCACATGCTTTGCATCAACATCTTTGTGTGGAATGGATGCTAAAAAATAACTCAAAAGACTTCCATCGTGATGAGACCCCAAGTTGCCCATCAGAATTGATGTATGTTAGTTGTTAGCAACTATGACCACTTAAAGTAGCTGACACGTATTGTTGGCTGTAATAAAGAGGCAAGCCACATATAATGCTAGAAACCCATTAGGCAATTCTAAGGAATTACTTTAAAACAATGAAATGTAGGTATAGGGAACTTGTGCTTGATTATATCGTGCAGAGAAGGGAAGGGAAATTTAAACTTTCCCTTGCCAGCTGCAATCTCACACTATGCTCTTAATGTTGATTTGTTAAAAAAAAGAGAAAGGACTACTTCAAGTCAAGTTTTATTTTTTAATTACTCCAAGTTTATGTAATTGACATATAATAATATGAAATTTGTGATTGCCTTTGTCTTAGGTGGGTTTTTTTTCTTCATTTCTTGCTCTAATCTACACTTCTGGCATTTCCTGTTGGTCTCCTGTCCAAGTGCTAACTAGTCTAACTGTGTTCCACTTTTAGAAATCCACAAAGACACCCCTTAATTTAAAAAGACTCCACTGGCACTAGGTAAGGAGTGCATTTTCTTTGTGCTATAGTTAGGAAAGAAAAAGTAAGCTTTCCTGTACATTACAGTCTCAGCAAAAACCTAACCTTTCTTTATCTGTGCCCTGATGATATTATACTAAATGATACCGCCAAGTGATGTGTTTAACAAGTGCCCCTTTGGCTTATAGAAACTAGCTCTAATGGATGAAAACATTCCCATCTTTAAAATGCAAACCTGAAAACATTTATAATATATCTATTTCTTGAGCAAAACTCAGATTTTAGAATACCTTGGGCTAAGCAGAAACTGTTCCTCAAGGATGTACCTCAGACTGATCAGACAAATCAGAGGTATGTACAATCTCCTGAAGGGAAAAAAAAGTGGCTACAAAATAAAGCTTGCATCTTCTAAACATTATGCAGTCTTTCTCCCAAGAACCAGGGGCCTCTTAAAGAAAATTGATTCGAATGTCAATGTTTATTTAACCTAATAATTCCCTGGTCAATTAAGTCAACTTTTGGTGAACTTTGAGGATTCCACCACAGAGGGGCAGACAAGAACTTCAAATAGGTCTCTCCAAAGCCACCATATTGGAGAGAGGCTTTTAAGAAATTGTTAGAAATTGAATACTCTTTTGAAATTACTTTTTAATTAAAAAAAACAAGTCTGTATGAAATTATTGCTCATATAAAATATACATGAAAATAGGAATAATGGCAACCACTGAAAATAATCTTTCAGAGATCCCGGAACACCTGGGAACTACCACAGTACTGGAAAAGAGCTGATATGATTCCAATCTACAAGAAAAGGGGAAACGGTGGATCCAGGAAATTATAGAGCAATCGGCCTGATATCAATACCTGGGAAGAACCTCAAAAAAATAATCAAGCAGTACATCTGTGAGCATCTAGAAATGAACAAGATAATTAATAGAAGCCAGCATGGGTTTATCAAAACCAGATTATGCCAGACAAACCTTATTTCCTTCTTTGGCAAAGTGACTAAATTAGTGGATAAGAGAAATGCTGTGGACATAGTTTACTTAGATTTCAATAAGGCATTTGATAAAATAGACCATAGCCTACTTTTTGAACAATGTGGAATAGATACCATAGTACCACCACCAGATGGATTCACAATTGGCTGACCAATCATACTCAGCAAGTAGTTCTCAATGGAACTACATCTACATGGAGGGAAGCATGCAATGGGGTACCTCAAGATTCTATCTTAGGCCCAGTAATTTTCAATAGCTTCATAAATGTTGTAGCTGAGAGGATAAAAGGGGAACTCCTCAAATTTGCAGATGACACCAAGCTTGGGGGAATAGTTAGCACTTTAGATGATAGACTCAAGATTCAGAAGAACCTTGACAGACTTGAACATTGGGCTTTATCCAACAAAACACAGTTCAGTAGTGAGAAAAGAAAGGTCCTATACTTAGGCAAGAAAAACCAAATGCACAGATATAGAATAGGTGGTACCTGGCTCAATAGTAGCCACTGTAAGAGATATTTGGTATCCTAGTAGACCACCACTTAAATATGTGCTGC